GGGGGGGGGGCAGGGGGGAGAGTTTTCACGGCAGAAAGGGAAACCTGGGCCTGGCTTGGGGGGGGGAGCTCAGCTCAGAAAGGCTTCTGGTGCTGGAGAGGAGCTGCTCTGGGCGGGGGCAGCCCCTGTTGTGTCCTGGTGGCTCTGGGCCTCACCGGAGCCTCCTTGGCACTGCTCCGCCACTGGAAGGGGGGCTGGTGGGGGTGGCCGGCTCCGGCCTCCTCCTCCTCCTGGCCCACCAGCTTGCAGGCCATGGAAGGGGTACGCAGAGGGTGCAGCCCCCCCTTCCCAGTTGTGGAGAGAAAGGCCCCTCTGGGGAGGCCTAGATCAGCCCTGGGCGCTGCCAGGCCACCCAGACCCCCCCCCCCTTTGCCTCTCCTGTGCTGGAGTCTGCAGCGTTCCTTCCCTTTGGCTTCCGATGGTTGCGGCACTAAGTTGTTCCAGGCCTTTTCTGCTACTCTGCGCTGGCTTTTGCACATGTACCCCGACAATTGCTTCTTCCTAGTTCAAAGGGAAAAAAGGGAGGGGGACCCCTCAAGTGCCTGTGACAGCCCTGTGGGGAAGAGGCCCCCTGGCCAGGGCGGGAAATCTGCTGCAAAGGCAGGAGTGGCCGAGCTGGTTTCTGAGCCCCTCCTGAACACAAGCACAGCCGTGAAAGCGAGTGTGAGCAGCAGGGAAGCTGCTTTGCCCCAGAAGTGGGCTGGGGGAGGGGCGTTTCCGCTTGCCGGAGAGCAGCAGCCTAGAACCCCCCCCTTCTTCTGGCACAGGGGCTGTGGGAGAGAGGGTGGGGCCACCCAATGCGCCCCTGGGATCCTGACCCTTTCCGAGGGGGTGGACTCCTTGGCCTTCGGGAGGCGCAGCCGAAGAGAGGTGGGAGTTGGGGTCTCCCCCAGTAGGGGAGGCCAACCTTTGTGGCCGGAGGGGCCCTCTTTCGACGCAGGGCTGAGCCTGTATTGGAGTCTACAGTCTCTGTGACAGCCCCACCCCCAGAGGTGAGGAACCCTTGGCTGGGCGTGGCGCTGCAGGTGGGAGTCCTGCCCTTTGGGGACTGGGAGGCAGGGTGTCCTCTTGGCACAGGAAGGTGGGAATCCTGCCCAGAGCCCCTCCCACCATGAAGGAGAGCCCCCCCCCCTTAATTGGAACTGCTTGACTTCAGGGCTGGAAGAATGTGCTCCAGCCCATTCAGCTGCCTCCCTCCCCACGCCCTCTGCTCTCTGGGGAGGAGGCTGCCTGCTGCTGCTGCTGCTGCGAGGGGTGGGGCTGCTCCTCCAGTGATTGGCCTGGGGCAGGGCGGGGGCTGGTGTGCAGCTTCACCCAAACAGGCAGGAATTGCCTGTCCAGCCTGGCGGAGGCCGGTTGGGGGAGGGGATCCCGGCAGGGCTCTTGCCCAGCCGCCAGCTGGCCTGCCCCCCTCCCTCCCTGCTCTCCTGTTCCCTCAGTGTTGGCTGTCCTTGGAAGAGCGGCCTGGCCTCCAGAATCAGGCACGGCTTGGCAGTTGCGCCAATGGTGCAGCAGTGCAGTTGCCTACCGCCAGAGCAGGAGAGGGCAAGGGGACAGGCCCTGCTGGGCAGCATTTCCTGCCTGGATAAAGCTATAACCAGGGTTCCAGCCAGAGGCTGGCTCTATCAGCACAGCTTATTTCAGGTGGGGCTCACAGGTGGAAGGGAAGTCCTGGATCCTTGGGGAGGGGGTGTGTGACCTTTGTGGTGGACCAGCTGCCAGGGAGGTCTCGGTACAGCACTCCCAGAGCCACCTGTGGGCACAAGCTATGTTGAATGTTCCTCTTCTGGGGGATCAGGGCATTCTCCCCCCCCTCCCCCCCCAGAAGACAGACCAGGTTCCCTTCGCACCCTTTAAGCAGATAGAAAAGGGGGGATCCTGCCCAGTGGGGTACCAAACCCTCGGGAACAGTGTCCCTGTGGGGCTCTAACCACAGCCCTTTCCTAAAAGACAGGACTCCATTTCTTGTCTGCTTTCACCTCTCAGCCAGTTAAAAGATTAACTCTTCTCTGGCTCTGCCAAGCCCCCCCCCTTTTGCAGCCATTTGAAGAGCAGGGATAATGGGGGAGGGGGCTACACTTGGTTCTTTGGGAACTTGTTCAGGTGGAAGAGAATCTTTCCATTGGGTGCCTTTTTGGGGGGAGGGGGGGAGATTGCCGGGCCAAGTGGCTCCTGAAAGCAGAGCCTGGAAAGCAGGGCCTCTTGCCGCAGAGCCCCTGCAGGGACCCCAAGTTGCCCGCAGAGAGGGTGACCAGCGGAGTCTCACGGGGCAAAGACCTTTGGCCAGGTTGCTTCACCCGGGGAGTTGGGGGCTGCTGTTTGCCTGGAGAAGAACATGGTGTTGATGGTGTTAGCTGGACCAATGGCATGCTGGGACTTCAAAGTCCATTAAACCTATTCTATCACCCAGAAGCCACTCCCAGCTGTAAACTGGACCCATAGCCCACTCCCAGGCAGGGCCTCTTCAAGCTTTTCTTTGCTCAGGTCAAAGCAGAGGGGAGGCTCCCTTCCCCAGGCCTCTCCACCCCACCTGCCACACCAGAAGGCAGGGAGGGAGGGAGGGTGGGTGGGGCGGGTGTTTTTGTGCGATAGGCCTCTTGGTGACACCAACAGGGTGGGGGAGGGGCAGGCAGGGGGCGATAGCCTTCCAGGTCGAGCAACATTGGGGGGCGGCGCACTGAGCGCGAAGTGGGGCCGCCCCTTCAAGCGGGAACAGCTCTCGGGGGTCAGTTAGGGTCCCTGTGGCCCGGGAGGGAAACGGTTGGCGGGCGGGCCTCTGGGTCTTCCCTGGCCCGGGGCTGAGCGGTGCTAACCTCCTTCGCGAGTGAAGGCGGAGTGCGAAGCAAGTTTTGGCACGCGCTCCCGGCGGTGACCCACATCCGCACGCGGGGCGGGTCCGTCCACCTGCAGGGGCTCGGCCAACGGGACTGAGCTATCCTCGAGCTCGGCCGTCCTCCGCAACCCTGGGCGGGCCCGCAGAGGTACGAGAAGCTCGGCCGGAGTCGCGCAGATGGGGGGGGGGAGCCCCAGACAGCTCGCCACGGCGAGCTCCGGGCGGAGCTCCCAAAACGCCGCCGCCGCCTCTTTGCCCGGACCCCTCCCCAGGGTGGGGCTGCCATGAGGGCACACCCACCCGCCCATCCGGCAGGCTCCGGAGCCAGAGAGCGCAGCCCGCTGCAGAGCGAGGGGGGGGGGGCGCCGCCACCGGACCCGCCGAAGCCCCCCCGCCGCCGGTCTGCCAGCCCGCCGCTTGCCGGCTCGGGATGATCCTGCCCGCGGAGAGGCCGAGCGCCGCGCAGAGGGCCTGGGGGGTGAGTGCGCCGCGGGCCGAGGCGGAGCGCCCTCCCCCGTCCCGGCGGCAGGAAGCGGCGCGCTCGGGAGGCAGGTCGCGAGGCCGAGGGGGAGGGGAGCGCTGGGCCCACCTGGGCGAGGGGGACGCCGCCCGCTGCCGCCCCAGCGGAGCAGTCCGGTTCTGTTGGGCTGCCACGCGCTCGCCAGGCTGGCCGGGGCAGAGCGCGGGCACCGGGCTGGGGGTTTCTGGCGCCCCAAAAGTGTGGGCAGGCGGGAGCGGAGGGGCTCGGCAGCCACACCCACCCCCGAGCCCCAGTTGCAGGCTGGAGGCCTCCGCTCGAGTGGCTGCCGGGTTGCCCCTCGCTTTCAGGGTCCAGACCCCCCCCCCGCAGCCTCCCCGCATTTCCGGAGAAGAGCCGACGGGTTGAGAGCCTCGGAGGCAACTGGCTGGACCTCCGTGGGTCGCGGCGTTCTGGGCCGGGAAGGGGGTCTGGGTGAGGGGTGCGCTTTTCCTTGGGCCAGCGAGCCACCCGCCTGCGCTCTCCCCCTCCCCGGCTCTCAGCACCCCTTGCATGGTTTGGGGGCCCGCAAGGACCCTTTGGAGGCAGGTGCCTAAACTCCTGGCGGGGGGGGGGCTTCTTCCTGTCCGTCCCCCCTCCCCATAAGGCAAAGGAGTAAAGGGCAGAGGCCACCTGGGGGCAGACCCGCAGGCCCTTCTCAGGTGACTGGCAGCTTGGCTGTTCTGGGCACAGGAGGCTGGGGGGAGTTGCAGCCCCTCCACACTTCGACCCAGGTTTACTTCTGCCCTGTGGAAGCCGAAGGTCCCTCCTCCTCTGGCTAACAGCGGGAAAGGGCTGCTGGGGGGGGGGGTCAACTCCACCCATCCTGGCTCAGGAGCAGTAATGCCCCCTCCCTGCTGGAAGATGGAGGCTCATGGATTGTGCAGCTGTTTCATTAGCCCCCCCCCCCACTTGACTTGCTGCCTGGTGGGGGCCTCTGCCCTCCACCAGGTATTTTCCAGCAGCTGGAAGGTTTGCCTTGGCTCCCCAGAAGAGGCCAGGCTCTGGAGGGGGAGCCTGTTTTTTATAGAAATGGGGTGGGGTGGTGTTCAGGGGTCCAGCTTTGCTTCCCCACACCTGCCCCTCCCTGACCAGAAGGAAGAGCGCTGCCCCCAACAGCCCCTCTCCTCACTTCCCTGGCACTGGTGACGGGGATCCTGTGGTTCAGTTGCAGCCCAGCGGGGGTGGGGTGAGGTGGGGCTGCCTCCCTGGACTCTCCTTCTCCGGGCCATCCAGGCTGACCTGTGGTGGTAGAGGGGCTGACCCAGGGAGCCAAACAGCCACGGAGGCTGCTGTGAGAGGCTGCTGGGGCCACGCAAGCCCTGGGCAGGGGGAGGAGTGGAACCAGGGACTGCAATTCCCGCTGCCCGTGGGGAGTATGGCGGGGGGGGGGGACGGTCTGCCGCCAGGGGTCCTTTAATGCTCCTGCTGAGGTTCTGATTCTCTGCAGGAGAAACCAGCATCTGCAAAGGAGCTGGGAGGCCATAACTCTCTTCCTCTCTGGGCCGAGGGTGTCCAGAATCTGACCCAAGACGGGCGGGAGGTTCTGTGGTGTTGGCAACCAACTCATCTGAGGGTTTCCAGGCAGGGTGTATGTCCGAGGAGAAGCTGGTGGCCGAGGGGAGGGAGGGGCAGTGGGCGGGCAGGCTGCGGATTAAAGCAGGGGGGGAGGGGCAGAGCAGCAGGTGCTGCTGGAGGCTTGGCAGGCGTGCAGGGGGAGGGGCTGGCAGGGGTGGTGGTCCCCTTGGAAAGATGCTGCATCTTGCAGAATTTCTTGTCTCGAGGAGCCTGGTGGAAAAGCAATAATCCTTTTTGGGTTTTATGGACAGAAAATATATATGGATCATTACGTAAAAGGCTGAGCTTTCCCTGGTAAAAAATTCTCTGAGATGGCACCTCCCCCCCCCCCCCCCCCCCCCAATGCCTTAAACTGCAAATAGAAGCAGGCCGGGCGGCCAGGCCCCCTCTGCCAGCTCCTCCGCAGAGGGCATCTGGTGTAACGGGGACACTTGTGGGCCAGGCTTGACAATCCGATTTAACCCCTTGAGGCCGGGGGTGGAGAGGCAGGAGCTGCCTGGGGGAGCAGAGTGGGGCTCTCTGCCCCACGGCTGTCCCTGAGAGACCCTCACGGAGGTTGCAGTGACTCAGCTCTGCAGATGCCCCCCCCCCCCCCGCCGCCCCGGCCGCCCCCCTCCCCCCCCACCGGGGGACCCCCCCACCCCCGCCCCCCCCCCCCCCCATACACACAAATGGCTTCGTCTCACCCTCAGTCTAGGAGCCCTTGGGTTTAGCAGCAGCGCTGCGGCCCTGTCAGAGGGGTCTCCAGCAGCCTGTGCCCCAAGGAGCGGGACGGGGGAGGGCAAACGGGAGTTGGCTGCTCCCCCAGAAAAGCCTGGGCTCAGCCTGCTTGTCCTCTGCTCCAAGCAAAGCGGGGGAGGGATGCTGCATGTCCCAGATTCTGAAAGGCTGCAGGAGGAAGCAGCAGCCTGGGCCCCCCCAGAATGTTTGGGGGAAGGACACCTGCCTCGCCCTGCCAGAGGAGGGGCTTGTGTGGGGCTTGACCACTCCTGGGAGGGTCTCGCAGCCCCACAGGGAGGCCTCTCCTTTTGGAGCTTTGCATTCAGAGCCCCTGGAAAGCACCCCGCTGCCCTTTGCCCTCGCCCCCCTGGCCAGTGGGAGCAGGGCTGCTCTCCACCCTGCCTGGGCCAGCCCAGATCCATGGCCAATGCCCAGCTGGACAGCCCCCAACCCCCCCCCCCCCCCACCAGCTGCAGAAGGAGTGAGAAGGTGGGCAGTGGGCCTCCTCAGTCTCTGCCACACCCCAGCTTTGCATGAACCCCTTCAGCTTGCTTGGCCCTCCCCCCCTGGCCTTTGGATCAGTCGGTTTTGGGGGTTCCCTTCCCAAGTCCCTCGGCCCCAGGGGCTCCCCCTTCAGATTCTGCTTGGGGTCTCTCTTGCAGCCAGGGAGCCCCTTGGAGTCTGTCTGGGTTTTTTGCAGGTGGGGAGGGGCTGGGCCCGTCTCTGGCTTGGGGGCCTCTCACGCTCCTCTCCTTTCGCCCTTGCAGTTGGCCGGGCTGGCCCCTGGCAAGGCCAAGCCCAGGATGAGCTCCTCCTCCCTGCTGGGGGAGGGCTCCCTCGAGCCCCCAGTGCTGCTGAGCGACATCAAGACGGAGCCCCCCGAAGAGCTGCTGGCCACCGACGGCAACCAGCCACAGGCTGAGCCGGTGGACCTGTCCCTCCACAAGCCCAAGGGCTCCCTCCAGCCTCCCGCCATCCGCACGGCGCCCATGCCAGCTGGCCCCCCGGCCCCCGTGGTTTCCATGTCCCCCGCCGGGCTGGGCTCCTCTTCAGCCATCCCTGCCGTGCTCTCGCCCGGCTCCATTCTGGCGTCCACACAGGGCAGTGGCGGGCAGCAGATCCTGCATGTCATCCACACCATCCCTTCGGTCAACCTGCCCAGCAAGATGGGCAGCCTCCAGACCATCCCACTGGTGGTGCAGTCCCTGCCTGTGGTCTACACCACCATGCCCAGCGACAGCGTCACAGCCGCCATCACGGTGCCACTCATCGGGGGAGACGGCAAGAACGCCGGATCTGGTGAGCTGTGCCCGCTGTCTCCCCACTGCCCCCAGGCCTGGGATGGGTGGGCATCGGCCTCCCTCCTGCTGCCTCCAGCGGGATCCTCCCTGTTCCGGCTGCACCGCCGGAGCCCCTGAAGGGTTCTCTTCCCTCCCTGCCCCCTCCCTGGTCATGTGGGGGAGGGGGCAGCGGCTGCAAGGCCGGAGGTGGTCTCTGGACATGGCTGCCAGGTGGGCATCTGAGGCCGTGCAGTCCAGGATGGAGTTGCCTTCCTGGGGTGGGGGGGGGGGGGGGGGGACGGCTGAGTGGAAGAGAACTGCTGGGCTCGAGTCGATACAGCTTGCAGGCCTCCCTCGGGGGCTGAGCAGGCCCGGCCTTGCTTGGCAGTGGTGGGGAGAAGGAAGATAAATAGGATAGCCCTGCCACGTGCACTGCAAGCGGAGTGCCCCCTGCGCCAAGGAGAAGGGGCCACGCGGCGCCTCCATGGCAGAAGTTTCCAGGGGGAGGAGCTGAGTGGGGTGGGGTTGTAATCGGAGTCCTTCGCCCTGGCACTCGTGCCCGCTGCTGTTGGCGGTCTTGGGTTCCTTGAGCAGCTGCCAGCCTGGATTCTGACAGGGTCTCTCTCTCTCCGGCAGTGAAAGTCGACCCGAGCTCCATGTGTCCCGTGGAGCTGCAGAGCGAGAGTGAGGACAGCGCCTCGGAGAGCGGGCCGGCCTCCTTCCCCGACCCACAGAAAGAGTGAGTCACGGCCCGGGCGGGGCGGGAGGAGGGGGGACTGCTCGTACCAGGGGCCTGATCCTGCTGGAGACGCGGGAAACGTGGCGCTTCCAGGGCCCCTTCTGAACCCCAGCTGTGGCTCTCTGACTGTCTTTGCCAGGCCCTCGGGGGGCAGGCTGCCCCACATGGACTCGCCCGACCTGAAGAAGAGACGGATCCACCAGTGCGACTTCGAGGGGTGCAACAAGGTTTACACCAAGAGTTCCCACTTGAAGGCACACCGGAGGATACACACTGGTGGGTGCTTGGGGGGGAGGGGGGGTCAGGGCCCCACCCTGTAGGCCCACCCTTCTCAGGATCTCCCCTGGATTCCTCCGTCACCATTACATTCCAGAGAAACCCCCACCCCCCCAGGAGGAGGGGTTCACCCACCATTAAGACGCACCCTTGTGCCCAAAGCCTCCTGCCCCTTTTGACCCCACCGGGTCCCTTTGGAGGCTGGGCAAGAATGGCTGGCTGGCAGGGCTGCCCTCTTCCCTCAGTGTTGACTGACTGCCAAGCCCAGCGGCACAGGAGCTGAACTGGGCCTGAGCTTTCTGCCTCCCCTTCCTTTCTGGGATCTCCTGGACCTTGCGAGCCCCTTGCCTCCCACCTGGCACTGCCCCTTTTCTGCCCAGGAGGGCCCACTGGTCAGCCCTGCATCCTGGAAAGGCATTTTGGAGCTGGGCGGGGTTTGGAAGGGCCGTCCAAAGGGGGGGGGGCTTTGTAGCTTAGACGGGGGCAAGGCAACCCACAGCCTAGAATCCTGCTGGCGCAGACAGAAGGGGGAGGGGGGCTCAGTAGAGCCCAGGAGAGTCTTGGGAAAGCTGAGGGGCAGCTGCTCCCATCGCTGGGCGGGAGTGGCATGGAAGAGAAGCCGCTGCACCCAGGTGCCTCTGGAAGGGGCAGGAGAGATCTGCCGCTCTTTGGCTTCTTCTTCCACACAGAGTGGTGGAGGCCCTCCCAGGCATTCTTTCCTCCCCCAACCCAAGTGGTGACCTGGGAACAGGGGCTGCAGCGATTCCCTCTCGACTGTGGGGGGGGGGTTTCCCTGTGGGTGCCCACCCCCAAAACTCCCCCTCCTGCTAAAACGGAGGGTGGCTTTTCTGGCCCTCCTTCCGCCTGCTCTGCTCCTGTGGGGCTGGGATTGCTAGTTCTTGCCCAGATCCTAGCAACGGATTCGGTCCCCAGATCCTCCCACATACGTTTCCTAGCAACCAGCTCCATCTTTCAGGCTGGAATCCTTTTAGCCGGGTCTCCTAGCAACCCCCTCCCCACACAATCCCACCTGCTCTCTCTCCCAAAGCACATCCTTTGGCAACTCTCTGCAACCCTCTGTCGCTCCTGGAATGCCAGGCCGGCTGAGCTGGCACCCACACCCATGGCCTGTGGGCTCCAGGGGGCCGCACCCAGGCAGCTGCCTCCCTCCTGGCATCTTTCACTTAGCTGGTCTGCTCCTTTCTTGACTTTTACCTTACCTTGATTTGCAGAGGGGCCGCATTTGGTCGCCCAGGGCTCTGGCCTTCTGCCCAGGTGGGGAGGGGTCTGCCGGCTGGCCAGATCTACATCCTGGGCACGATGGAGCTTCCCTTCCCCCAGAAGAGCCCAGTGATCCTCTGGCCCCGCTGTGGGTCCCCTGGGAAGGCTGGGGGCTGGTGGGGAGAGAGTGGCCCTCCTGTCCGCCTCTCCCTCTGCCCCCTCCCTCCGGATGTGCTGCACCCAGCGCCGACCCCTCCCCTTTCTCCCTGCAGGTGAGAAGCCCTACCGATGTACCTGGGAGGGCTGCACCTGGAAGTTTGCTCGCTCCGACGAGCTGACCAGGCATTTCCGCAAGCACACAGGCATCAAGCCCTTCCGCTGCTCGGACTGCGACCGCAGCTTCTCGCGCTCTGACCACCTGGCTCTGCACCGCCGGAGGCACATCATGATGTGAGCAGGGCAGGGGCTGCGCAGCCCGTGTCCCACCATCCCTGAAGCGGCTTCCCTTGGTCAGCTGGGCCCTGCAGGGCTTCGGCCGCCGGGCAAGAGCCCCCAACCCAGCGATTTGCACAGAAGGAGCCTTCGTGCCGCCTGCGCCCCCCCCCGAGATGGGCCTTTGGTCTCCGGGGCTGGGAAGCTTCAGGGTCTTGAGAGAATCCGGACCGATGAGCCGAACAAGGGACACGGGGCGGGGGGGGGGTCGGCGGGAAGAGATGGGCCGTCGGGCAGAGGGGCTTCCGCAGCTGGACCCAGGCCAGGAGACGGCCACCTGTGGGGGGTTCCTTGCGTGCCATGCCCAGCCAAGGGGACCTTCTCTACGTGGCCGGGCGGCTCCAAGATCTCGGCCTGCACTTCTCGCTCACAGCACAAGAATAAATGTGCCTCCCCACTAGGAAGCAACGTGGATGTGCTGGGCTGGGGGTTGATTGCTTCTAAGTACACTTTTATGAGCACTGAAACAAAGTCTGTGTCTGAATTCTGGCGTGGAATCCCCCACCCCAAGGCCCCCCCAGGCGGGGCTGCAGGAGGGTGGGGCGGATTGCGCCCAGCTGTCCCTTTGCATCGCCCGCACCCCCACCCTCCTGCTCAGGACTGCGGCTCTCATCTCAAGAGACTTTGAATCCAAGACCAACTTTTTCTGAATTTTAAAACTTTATTGCATTTGGGGAGGGGGAAAGGGAGAGGGGCCACTCCGATCCAAGTGTGGCAGAGCGGAGTCCCTCCTGCCCACCCAGAGCCCCACTCGGAAGAGATCCTGGCTTGGCGGGGGAGGAGACAGAGGGGCTCGCAGAGGAAGAAGTTGCAGAACGCAGAACTGTGACACCCCCCCTCAGGTGGACGGGAGGGGGGGGGAGGAGAGCTGGCTGGTTCCTAATCCTGCCTACAAGGACAGGAAGGGCAAATAAGGCAGATAAATTTTGAACCTGGCAACCTGCAGCTGGATGCATTTCTGTATATAGTGCAGCAGGGGGCGCTGTGGGGTGGGCTGGGGTGGTCCCTCTGCTGAGATTTTGCTTTCCTTTCTGTCACTTTGGTCAGGTCTGGAGGCGGCCTTCCGAATGGCGTGCCTGTGCAGGTGTGCGTATGTGAGGGAGGCTGCTGTGACTTTTGGCCTCCCCAGGGTGAACTGAACGGGTTTGGGGAGGGCGAGGAGGAGGAAGAGCTCCCCCACCTGTTGGGGCTGATGTTCACCTGGGAGTCAGGAGTGGAGGGGCCAGGCGGGGGGGGGGGGGGGGGGGGAGGGGGGGGGGGCCACCCGGTGTTCCATTCCTGCATCTGCTGGCCTTGGGGGGGGCCTTTCCCGGGGCAAAGGGTGGGGCCTGCCAAGGGGAGGGGGCAGGTTTAATTGCCGCTGGGATGGGGAGCTGCTTTGAACTCTGGTTCTCCCCCTCCCAAAGCCGCTTCTCTGCAGCTGGCTGCACATGCCTCCAATGGGACTGAATGGGACACCCACATCAGCTGCCCTTCTGGGCGGCCTGGCTTCTCCTCCTCCCTGTGACGTGGTCCTGGGTGGGTCTGTCTCCTCCAACAGCCTTCCTGCTGCTGCTGCTGCTGCTCTGGCCAAAGCCCTCCTCAGCCTGGTTCTGGCCGCGCTCTGGTCAGCTGATTGCAAAGGGGCCTCCTCTTGCTGTCCAGAGGAAGCCCCCCCCCTCAATTTCCTTGGGCCTCTTGGGGCACCCTGGGCTTCCCAGGGCTGGAAATCCGGGTCTCCCTTCAGGGCCTGGCAAGGAAGGCTCCGCTTGCTTTGTTGGGGCAAGGTGGTGCCCCTTTCCTACCAGCAGAGGGTGCTGTTGGCTTGTTGGCTTCTCACGTTGGCTGAAGGTGCCTTGTGACTTGTGCCCTCCCCTCATTGGGGGGCGTCTCAGTTCCCGCCTGGTGTCCGCCCCCTCCCTCCCACCCCCCAAGGGAAACAGGGAGTGTGCAAGAGAGCCCTTTTGCTCTGTCCCTCCAGTAGGACAAGCTGGCAGCTTTAACAAAGGGCATTTTCATAAGTGGGGTTTGAGATGTTCTACTGCGCCCTGCCTTGGAAGAGTATTTGACTACTTCTGGGTTGGGGGGCAAGGTCTACGGGGGTGGAAAGCCTGCTTGATTTTTGAACCCCATGCAATATTGCGGGTGCTCAGAATGCCTGGTTGGTGAAGACGTCCCTTTGATCCCAGGCAGACTGTAATTAAATGGAAAAGCAGCAGCGTTAGTGAGATCAGCTTTATTGTAGCTGTGCAGCCTGCTGCCCCAAGACAGAGCCGCAGCTCCCCGGTGATTGAAATGCTTGGCCCAAAGTGCGCCAGGAAGGCCAGGGACTCTGAGGTTCTGATCTGCCCTCAGTTGTGGAGGTGCAGGGGTGAACTTGGGCCCTTCGCACAATGTTTTTGTGGTGGGGAAATCAGGCTTTGAACTGCACTGAGATATAAATGACACAGCAAATGCGCTGCTGCCAGATAAGCTCCAGCCCCCCATTGGGGGGGGGGGGGGGTTCCCCCCCTTCCCCTGACCAAAGGTGGACATCCAAGGAAATGGATCCCAGCTCTGAATGCTGGCTCAGAGCCAGAGATGGAAGTCAGCCTGGCAAAATTCTCTCCAGCTTTTGACAGCTTTGGACTTGCTATCAGGGTTCAAAAGACAGAGGAGATCATGGTCCAGCCTGCTCCTCATGTACCAGATGCTGAACTCCAAAGCACGATCAGAGGGGGGAGGGGGACTTCAGGCCGCGGATCAATTCAAGCCCCCCTGGCTTCAGCCCATCCTGAGGAGGGGTCCCTGGGGCTGAAGCCAAGCACCGAAGCCACCTGCTTTCGGTCAGCTGCACTGCACTGGTCAGGAATGTTGAGGGGTCAGTCCAGCCATGAAATTGAAGCTCCACGGAGCCCTGGGACCGCCTGCCCTTCTGCAAGCCTGCGAGACCCGGAAGAAGGCTCAGCCGGTTCCGCCTGACTTGTCCTTGCAGAATATCGAGCGTCCAATGGCAGATCAATGACGGGACCCCAAAGTTCTCTGGAGCGTGTCTGCCCCCCCCCCCCCCCCCCCCCCCCCCCCCCCGCACACAGCAGGGCTGAGCGGAGCAGGTCGAGAACAGGTGTTCCCTGCTGGAAAACGCTCCCCTGGAGGCCAGAGGAAACTTTCAGAGACACTTCAAAGGCGCCTCTGCTGGAAACCCGACCACTGGGAGGCGCCAGCGCAAAACACCCTGTCCAGGAGGGCTGCTTGATTTCACAAAGTTAGGCGCACTGCAGAAGCACATGAGCGCTGCACAAACCTAGAGCCATCAGTGCCACAGCTGGCCTATCAATGTCTGCCCAACGTGCCAGGCCATCCCGTGCCCGGCTTGCCCTGACCTTTGGACTCCCCACGACCGATGGGGCTGAGGCCTGTGTTCGCAACAAGGGACAAGCGGCACCTGCTGCCCACAGCCGGCTTGAGCCAAGGCCGAAGGAGCGAAGTGGCAGCCTAAACTCACCGCTTCACCCCTGGGAGCGCTTGCGGGGAAGTGGGGAGGCCCGCCGGACACCCGGGCGTAATTCCCACAGGAGCCAAGGAAGCCATTCGTGCTTGCTTCTTTTTATTTATTCTTGAAACAAAAGAGGCGGCGGCAAGTCGTTGTTTGGCTCATCTGCCCAGTTGGGGGACGGGGGAAGGAGCCCACAGCAGGCAGAGGAGGCAGGGAGGGCTCTGAGGCAAGTGGGCCGGAAGTGGGGTCTGGGCTTGGGAGCCTGAGCGTTGCCTCATCGTCACCACAGGGTGTTTGCAAAAGCGTGTTATGATGACAACAGCTCTTGTCCATCTGCTGGAGTTCACATGCTCAGATTCAATTTACATACGTAAAAAAAAGGAATTCCATTCTTAAAGGTTGCGTATACAAAAATATGTACAACTGTCTTTCCTATACATAGACGCCCCGCCTGGGGGTGGGTGGGAGGAAGTTGGCAAGCAAAGCCATAGAAGCCTTTTCTGTGCCAGCTGCCTCCAGCCGTTTCCTCCCCTCCCCTGCTGACCTCCCAGCCCCGTCGGCTCCCTGGAGCCGCTGCTCTCATGCCCGGCCAGAAGCAGCTCTGGTCACTCTCGAGAGGCTCTTTGCCTGAGCTCCCCAGCATGGACAGCTGGTCTGGTGGAAGTGGGTGTGTGATCTGGGGGAGGGATTGGTTAAGGCAGGCCCTGCTTGGTCAGGTGAACACAGAGAAGAGGTGGGCAGGGGTTGCATGGTTGAGAATTCAAAAAGTGAACTGGAAATCACTCGGTGCAGGAGGTGCTGTGAAGAAACATTTGGGAACAGAAGCAAAAAGGGGTTTTTTCAAAGCAGCAACTAGTTCAAGGTGCCTCCCAAATTCCACTTACAGATGGCTAATCAATAGGCCTCAGAAAGGGTTGCTCTGCATCGTCAAAAGGTGTGTGTGATTAAGGAGAGGAAATGAGGTTCAGTGGCTCTTTTAGAGAACGTGATTGAAAAAAGTGCTAAGAATTAAGGCAAATGTTTGCACAAGCTTGCTTGAAACTTGTGAAAAAGTTGAAAAAAGAAAAAGAAAACTCCAAGTCTCAATTTTGCAGGATGCCAACCAAACCAAGCAGTCATCGCTCTAATCCAAAATAAAATCCCATTGGTTTTAGTTCCACATTTAGTATGTCTTCAGTTCACTGAAACAACGAAACATTTAGGTGGAAAGACAAAATCTCGACAAATGAAGCACTTTTGAGGCAATCCTGATCCAGATTAACCTCTTCTATGAAAAGATGACCCTTTCCTTGTAAACTGCAAGGATCCAGGATTGGAAGGTGAAACCAGTCTTCAGCCGCCTTTGGCTCGGGGAGGGGCCTGGATGCCACCAGAGAAGCGGTTGCGCCACTTGCAGGAGGAGGAAGGGGGGGTACCAGAGGGTGAATTGGGGAGGCCTTCTGACTCCAGATACAGATATGCGCTCCAATGTGTAAGCAACTTTAGCAGCCTCGAGACTGGGGCTGCCCTGCTTCAACGGTCTCTTGCAGAAGAAGATTTGGCACTAAGCTCACCACCCATGTGCCAGCTGCCACCCATGGCCTCTTACTGCCATGGTTGGCAAGAGGCTCCAGGCTGGTGGGATGTGGGGTGTGCAGATGAGACCATGGAAGCCCAAGTGCCCCAATGGGCAAAATCTAGGCCAAGAGGGAGGTGCCAACCTTGGAATCAGGGCAGCCTTTAATGTTCCTGCTGGCTGCCTTCTAAGCCGGATCCAAGGCAGGTCTTGAAAGGAAAGGAGGTGCGACTCAGCTTTCTCCAGCGGGAGCCCAGGCCCACCAAGACGTCCTCGGCTTCCACAAGCGCAGGCTTTGCGGGGGGGGACGGGACCCTGGGACAGAACGGGGTCCCTCCCCCAAGAGATTCCTGGGAGGATTTGTCCAGCAGAGCTTGCCACGGCTGTGAGAGGGAGGGCAGGGGAGGGAGCCTGCCTGGGAAGCATTCCCACAGCTGCCGGAGGAGGAGCCGTCCCTGCTGTCCGTTTTGGTGCAGCAAAAGAGGAGAGGGAGAAAAAGCCTGCGGTTGCAGCTGCTTTCTGTCCAGGCCGAGGCCGAGGGCAGGTGATCAGGGTGGGTTGCGAGGCTGAGGTTCCCCCCCCCCAAGGAGAGCGATTGCCTTCCCTGGGGTGGGCCTTTAACATTCAACCCCCAGGCGGGCCAGAAGCGGGTGGATGCTGATAAGGAAGCTCTGGGTGCAAAATGTTAGGATCTCTTCCCCCCTCAGCTGCAGAAACATAGCAATTTAAGCCACCATTTAATTCGTGCTGCTTTGATCCTCCAAGTGAGCCAAGGCCAGAGCTGTTCCACGCGACTTGCAAGAGCTGAGAAGTTAATTTTGGACAGCGGCCCCCACAGCCAACCTCCTCCTCCTCCTGCTGCGGTTCTACAGCCTCGGATTTCAAGAGAAGTCAGTTGGTCAGGACTTGACACGCTGGTCTCACGGAGGCAGAAATAAATAGGCGTCTCCTGGAGAACCCCCCCCACCCCCAGCCTGCCTTCCTGGGCATCGCCAGGCCTCCAAGGCGGGGGTGGCAGCCGGGCGCCTGGCCTCTGATCGCGGTCTGGGTGGGGCGGGGGCCGCAGGGAGGCTGTGCCTCAGGCCTAGTTCTGGTGCCTTTTCATGTGCAGAGCCAGGTGGTCCGAGCGAGAGAAGCAGCGTCCGCAGGCCAGGCACTTGAAGGGCTTGGCTCCGGTGTGCTTGCGGTAGTGTCGGGTGAGCTCATCTGAGCGGGCAAAGCGCCAGTCGCAGCCGTCCCAGGTGCAGCGGTAGGGCTTCTCACCTGGAACCAAAGGAAACGGGAGCCTGTCACACACCGGGGAAGGCTGATCGCTGCCCACCCTGCTTCCCCGGACGGCCTGGGCAGGCGCTGCACCCCCTCACCCTGCAGGGCTCCAAGGCCACTCGCCTGCTGAAAAGTGGCAGAGAGGGGAGGAGACGCCAGGAGCGGCTAGGAAAGAAGCCAGGAAAGGGCACCTTTCGGCTTGCCCTCTGCAAAAGCTGATCCGTTCTGAAATGGGGGCTGGCCAAGGGAGGCCCCGGGTGGGTGCAGATCCATTGGTGGCTGGAGTGGGGCTGCTGAGCCCGGTGGATGCCCACAACTCCCACAGCCAATCCAGCCGAGGGAAGAGGCTTCGCGGCTCCCTTGTCCCAGGCAACAGGGCGCATTTGGCAGCCACCACGTGTGAGCGACTCCCAAGTGTGAGCGAGGGGTATTTTCTTTTTGTACCGCTTCCCTGGGCAGGGCTCGTGCTAACCGCATGGGCAGGCTGTTTTCCAGGCTTTGTGACTCAAGGCCATTGTCCCAGGGAAGTCACCCTCTGCCTCACACAATAGCCGAGTGAGTTTCCGGGACCGGAACCAAAGGCTTGCTATTGTCCTTACCGGGGCAGCCTGGCAGGGCAGCCACAAATAATGGGCCCTGGAGAGCGGGGGCAGCCGAGGGCGGATGCCGTCTCCCAGGCCTGATGGAGCAAGAAAGACCCCCCTGCGGTTGCGGGCAGTGAGGGATTCCTTATCCCCCCCCCAGGTCTTCTGCCCTGCCGTAAGGTCACCATCTCAGGTGGGGTGGGGTGGGGGAGCTGCAGCCTGCCCGGGGCTCTCTTGGGACCTTCCTGGGCATTTCTCTCCCCTTCCAGAGGGCGGCTGAGCTCCTCCTCCAGAGACCGGGAGGCTGGGAAGGGGCTTTGCCAGCAGCCCCCATGCCTTCCTCTGCTTGGCCTCGTGGCAACCCCTGGGCCTGCTCAGCTGTGGAAGGTCTTCAGGGTGAACTGCAGGGCCCTTTGGAACTACTCTCCGCTGGCTTTTCAACCTTACCAGTCGGAGGGGAAGAGGAAGCCCTTCCGAGCTCTCCCTTCAACCCCCAAATAGGGCTCAGGCTCTGGGGCTGGGAGGGAAGGGCTGGGTGCTCTGGATTTGCCTTTCCTGGACACCTCTCACCCATCTCTGACATCAGAGCCCACGCTGCCTGGTGCCCAGCTCTGCCCTTTGCGGCAGGTTTTTCCAAGGCTGCCCATTTTCAGAACAGCAGCAGCTTTTGGGAAAGGAAACGCCCTGCCCGCCAAACAAACATTCTCCGTTTGAAGACTCAAAAGACGAGAAAAGATCAGCCTCTTCCCACGTCAACCTACCAGTGTGAGTCCTCTGGTGAGCCTTCAAGTGTGAACTTTTGGTGTAAACCTTGGTGCACCCTGGGGGAAAAAACAGAAGAAGAATCAGTCCCTGAGCCCAGGGGGGCTGCTGGCACGGGGCCAAGGTGGGAGGAACCGGAAGGTGAATGGATGGCGGGGCCGAGAGCTCCTCCTCCCCCCCCCTCTTCCTCCTTGCTAAAGGTGTAATTGGGGTGCTGGCAGTGGGGGCTTTGTCTGAGAATACCAGGAGGCCCCTCCCTCCTTTGCATGAAAACTCTCCTGCTGTGCAGATTGGTCAGAATTTCTGTGGCTTTAGTGGGGGGGAGCCTGCATTTGCCCCCCCACCCCACCTGGCCCCCTAAAATCTCATCCCTACAAGAACTGTATTCCAGGTTGAGGGATACAACCTTGATGTTGTGCGTGGGGGGAGGGGTGGGGTGGGGTCTAGCCAGACTGAAAGGTTGCCAGTCCCCTACCAGGATAGCCGCAGTGGTGGATCCTCCTCTTCTCCAGTTCCGGATTGTTCCGCCGGTTGTACTTGGGGGTCGGCAGGATGAGGTGTCCCTGCGTGATGCGCTTGAGGGCGCTGGAGGCGATGGGTCCGGGGGGGGACAGTTTCAGTCCAAACGTGGCCTCGTAGGGGGGGGGAGGCGAAATGGCGTTGATGGGCTCAGGCTCGTTCTCGGGGCTGCCGGGCTGTGAGTTGGGGGGCGAAGGGGGCAGGCTCACTGCTGGCACGGGGTAGAACTCCTCCAGCACACTGAAGCCACTGAGGCCTTGGGGGGCCGCTGGGAAGGGCTTCAGCTGCCCTGCTGGCCGCAGGGGCCGGGTGAGGGGCCTGGAGTCCAGCATGGAGCTGCCACTAGGAATGGCCACCCCGTGGAGGCTGCCGGCGGCTGTGGGGCCACAGGTCGAGGGGGACGCAGGGGCCATCTCCCCCGAGAGCTGGTAGAGCAGGCCTGGCTGCGGGCTGAGGCAATGCGGGGGTTCGGGGCAGGGCAGCTCTTGCTTGACAAAGATGCTGCTGGCGGCCACGGACTGCGGCACGCTAAAAACGCTGGTGAAGTCCGGCAGGGTCTGGATCGGCCCACTGCTGGCAGGGCAGGGCTGGGCAAAACAGGGGCCGGGCTCCATTTTGATCTGGGGAAAGGGCACGGGGCCCTTAGCTGGCCGGTAGATCCCCGTGCGTAAGTGTGTGGTGTCCGGAAGGATCACGTTGATGTTGACGCTGTAGGGTGCCGACGGAGGCTTTTCAGTGGAGAAATACTCGTCCACCACAGAGGCGCTTTCCCGGCGATACTTCTTGTCTGTTGCCATCGGTGCAGGGGGCATTTGGCCAGAGAGGTACTTGTCCATCTCGGTCTGCGCCTGAGTGGAAGCCCAGAAGAGGAAGGAACAGTGAGGAGGGAAAGGCCCGAGGTCTCCGTGGGCTGGCACCCCCCCACCCAGGTCAGGTGCCTGATGGCCGCCCCCATCCCGTTGCTGTTCATTCCTGCTGTTAATGGTTGCTACTCCTGAGCAGGCCAGCCACTCACAGGCTCCCCCCTGCACTTAAAGCCCCCCCCCCACGGGCAAAGTTGGCCATCAGGTCCCTGCAGAGAAGACCTCCATCCAGCTTCAAGGAAGCATCTTGGAGGCCCCAAATCCCCAATTTGGAGCCAGGGCAGCCTCCCAATAGACGGCTGCCTCCCTAGCTGGTGGCTGCCCTCCCTCTCCTTCCCTGCTTGCCAGCTCAGGAAAGAGAGTTAAGTTAGGCGAGTGGAAGACAGGTGTGTGGGTGCGATGTCTGCCTCTGTTGCCAGCTTCCTCCCCTCTGGCCCCTTCCTTGGAACAGCCTCTCCAGTGTCACCTCCCTTCCAGGCAGTTATTTTTCGATCAGGAGCAAACACCCGCGGGGCACTGCCAGGAAACTACCCAGAGGCCTGAATGCCAAACACATCTGGATGAAGGCATGGCTCGCTTGCTCAGAGATGGCAGTGTTGAGATGAGGGCTCAGCTGCCGCCACCTCCAGACACCCCTAGCGCAAGGGGAGCTGGGGGGCACCAGGGGGAGGGAGGCTGCCACCCCCTCTGGTTCTGCACTCTCTCTCTCTCCCATCAGCCACGTCCAGCCACGGAGGAGGTGGCCTGTGCCTGAGCCTTCCTGGCTAGACTGGGGCTGGATCACAGAGGCTGCCCAGGGCCCTGCAAGCCCCAAGCCCTCCTGGGGAGGGCGAATCCGAAGAGTCTCCTGGGTTCGGCCAGAAAGGCTCCTTTCACCTTCCGCTGGTCAGCAGGAGAAAACGGCGCCTGTTTCCCAAAGGAAGCCGGGCTCCTGATACCCCGTGATCTCCATCAGCTGACATTTGGCTTTCATTCTTCTGTCTGGGTTGATGTATGCTTAATATATGCTTTCTATTGACTTTCTTTTTTAAAAAAACCCAATTGTCCTACAAACCTTCCTAAACAGTTACAGATGGCTACCATAGCACTTTTAGGAAAAATGTTACACTTAGAAAAAGCAAAGGTAAGTAAAAAACAAAAAGGAAACTAGATCAATCTCTACCCGCCCCCCCGCCCCCCCAAAAAAGCAGAAAAACAACCCATTAAACAGAAACAATATGGCTATCTTTAAAAGAAACCCATTGATAAAAATCAAATTCCACAGTTGTTCCATAGTGCCAGACTGTCTCTGTGCAAAGACATCCCCACCCGTTTTTCGGCCGCTAAGCTGAAGCGGAAGACACAGGAACAGGTAGCCTCACCCCACTTTCTGGGAAGCAGTTCAGGCCCTGCAGACGGTTCCGGGGGGGGGGGG